GCCATGAACCCCAAAGAATCCCACACACAGCCCTCAAGGGGCAGAACACAGTCGAGCAGCATGGAAAGGCACTTTATCCACAGTACAGGTGCCAGCAGGCAATACAAGAGTCACTTCACCGTCGGTGTTCTTGCAGATACTGTAGGTCTTCACGGGGACCTCAGTGTGTACCATAGTAGATAGCAGGATACTTGTCGGGTAATTAATCACTTGTGGTGGTGTCTAGCTGTGCCAGGAATTGGCAGGGCATGTTTGTGGCCAGGTGGGAGACACTGCATGTTCTGCCGCCATCTTCGTGCCCTTTTCACTGCTAGAACTTTGGGCCTACGATAGGAGCGGGGAGGTGACACCATAGGTTAGTGGCCACTCGCTTCCTGTACAGGAAGCAGCCTGTCGCACTTTGAATTTTTTTTTTCCAGAAGTAATCAAAGATTCTGTTTAGCTTCAACATGATTGTGGCGAAACCGACCTCGCCACTGGGCATTGGAAAAGACTGATTGCCAGCCTCCTGCCATGTGACTATGGCCCCTGGGATGTACTGCCCTTTAAAGACATGATTTGGGCATAAGGGATTTGTGTTGTGCTGCTGCTGGCCCTTTAAGAACCATCTGGGGACATACTGTGGAGTTACTGGGTGGCCACCATTTCCTGTATCAGAGGCACATGGTGAGAACAATGGATGAAGCACATGGTGAGAACAATGGATGGCTGCCATTTTAACTCACAGACACTGTTTGGACTTTTCAACACGGTGCCATCTCGCCAGTATTTGGTGCACAGAGACATCGTGCAGTGGTTTTGGACTATACAGCAGGGGACACATTATACAGTGATTGGTTTTCATTTAGTCTGTATATTTCTGCAGAATCTGCATTAAACTGTATCTTCTAAAGTACTGAACGGATCTGGGTGAATTTTGGATATGTGGTTCACCCAGATCCCCCAGTTCCAAGGATATACTTTATGGGGTTATTGCATGTTTTGGGGTCCCTGTGATGTGTTTTATGAAACTGTATTTCTCTGTCTGTGAGAATTAGATTACCCATTGTGTAAGGTAATTGTATCACAGGCAGAGGTGAGGATTTTGTGTGGGAGTGTCTTTCTGTAATGTACGTGTGTTATTGGTTGTTCTGTAAAACCCTGTGGGCAGTACTAAGTTTGTGGATTGGGAATAAAAGAGGCTGTATGTCCCAGTCCAGTCAGTTCCTGCTTAACCCTCAAAGTGAAGTGTTGTCTCATTATTGGGGGAGGATTTATTGTATGCTGTTCCAGTTTGACTGCTAGGAATGTAAACCTATTCGCATGGTTTTTCCTATTCGGCTGTATACAACATTCATATGCTTGAGAGCATTCATATGCTTCTCCGGTTCGGTGGTTGTGGTGTCTGCTGCAGTGTTTGGAGTCCTCAGGAAGCGCTAGGAGCATCCTTCAACGGAGGTACCCAATCGGGGTGCCAGGTGATCCGTTACAATGATTTTGTCAGGCTTCATAATTCTGCAATTAGGGGAGCATATGGCATCCAACATGATGCATGTCTCCATGCCAGCTGCCTGCTTGCTCAACAACATCTCTTGGGCAGGGCCGGATTAACATAGGGGCTGATGGAGCTGATCTTAGGTTTGCCACCTGACTGGTATTTTACTGGCACATCCAGTATTTGAGGCTGCCTGGCCGTGCCGGTATTGCAGTAATACCGGCAATACAAATGCAGGTATTTTTCTCAGTATAAACGGAGATTACTCTGCAATACCAGCACCGGCCAGTAGGGGTCACTGTGTATGGAGAGTGGCAGGGATAGGAAGTTACAGCATATCTCTGCCACTCTCTACTACTCACTGACCCGTGGGGGAGCAGCTACACAGCACAGAGAGTACAGACAGCAGCTCTACAGCTGGGCGAAGGTACGTTGAGGGATGGGGGGAAAGGCAGCAGGGAGACAAGGGGACACAGACACTAGGGAAAACTGGGAGACTTGGGGACACTGGAAAACATGGGGACACTGAGACACTAGGGGACAATGAGACACTAGGGGACACATGGGGACACTAGGGAACACATGGAGACACTGAGACACTAGGGGACACATGGGGACACAAACACTAGGGGACACTGAGACACTAGGACACATGGGGACACAGACACTGGGAGACCTGGGAACACTGAGGCACTTGGGGACACTGGAAAACATGGGGACACTGAGATACTAGGGGACACATGGAGACACTGAGACACTAGGGGACATATGGGGACACTGAGACACTAGGGGACACAGACACTAGGGGACACTGGGAAACCTGGGGACACTGAGATACTTGAAGACACTGGAAAACATAAGGACACTGAGACACTAGGGGACACTGTGAGACATGAGGACGCTGAGACACATGGGGACGCTGTGAGACATAGGGACATTGGGAGACACTGAGACATTGGGACACGGAAACACTAGGGACACTGTCCCATGTCTCCCAGCCAGTGTCCCCAAGCCTCCCAGTGTCTGTGTCCCCATGTATCCCAGTGTCCCCAAATGTGTGTCCCCATGTCTCCCAGTGTCCCCATGTCTATGTCTACAAGTGCCCCCATGTCTCCCAGTGTCCCTAGTCTCCCAGTGTCTTCAGTCTCCCAGTGTCTGTGTTCCCATGTCTCTTAGTGTGCCTAGTGTCATAGTGTCCCCAAATGTTTCAGTGTCCCCATGTCTCCCAGTGTCTGTGTCCCCATGTCTCTGTGTCCTTAGTGTCTAAATGTCCCCATTTCTCCCAGTGTCCCCAAATGTCTGTGTCTCCATGTCTCCCAGTGTCCCCATGTCTCCCAGTGTTCCTGGGTTTCTGTGTCCCCATGTCTCACTGTGTCCACTAGTATCCTAGTGACATGGGGACACACTGAGACATGGGGACACTGGGAGAAATGGGGACATTGGGAGACTAGGGAACTGGGCGACATGGGGACACTAACACTGTGATACATGGGGACACACTGAGAAATGGGGAGACTTGCGAGACTGATACACTGGGAGACAGGGAGACACTGGGACCAATTTATCTATACAGCAGAATCAAACTGTGAGTAGTTTGTTGGTGATTTGACAGAATTTTCTCTTATGTCACTCCTTGTGATTTACATCATGTGATGTCACTCATGACTAATTAATTATACAAAGGCTGGTATTTGTTTCCAAGAATGTTGGCAACCCTAACTACTCTTCACATACTCTTGCTTAAAGGAACACTATAGGGTCAGGAACACAATCATGTATTTCTGACCCTATAATGTGAAAAACAATATTCTAGCCCCCCTGGCCCTCTCTTGCCTCCCTAAATATAGTAAAATCTTACTTGTATTCAAGTCTGCAGGTGCTGCCTCTGCCTCTGAACTGACTCTGTCTGCTGACATAATCAGAAGTGGTGGTCTGAGCAAATTACAATGCTTCCCCATAGGATTGGCTGAGACTGTCAACTAGGCAGATTAGGGGCAGAGCCAGCACAAGCCAAACATAGCCCAGGCCAATAAGCATCTCCTCATAGAGATGAATCGAGTCAATGCATCTCTATGAGGCAAGTTCAGTGTCTGCATGCAGAGGGTGGATACACTGAATGACAGTGCTGCACACTAGGCAGTACTGCCCCAGGAAGCACATCTAGCAGCCATCTAAGGAGTGGCCAGTTGAGTTATTTTCTCTGAAAAGACAGTATTTACTGCAAAAAGCCTGAAGGGAATGATTCTACTTACCAGAACAAATGCAATAAGCTGTAGTTTTTCTGGTGACTATAGTGTCCCTTTAAGTTTGGAAGCTTAAGAGGGATGTATGGCAACAAAACCTGTGTGGACTGGCTGACAATAAAATTAGTTTAGGTAATGCAGACTTTGATCTCTCTAACACTGTGGCATGTCCCCTTTCTTCTACACTCACTACATACACCTTTTCTCTGTCCCAGACTATATACCAGGAACTTCTGCCTGCTAGTAAGACGATAAGGAGACAAGTGGACATGTGAGTGCTAGGGGACAGTCCTTAGAAAGCGTGGAGTAGGCGCATCATTTGATGCATTTATGTCAAGCTCAGGGTGCTGCCTGCATAGTATGCCCTTAGTTGGACAGCCTGCATGATTGGCAGGCAGCCTGACATGCATTCATGCCAGGCTGGCCTTCCAATTATTTGGACAGACATGCCCCCTTTTTGGGCATCTTCACCCTTTTGGCAGTTCTCGTCATGTGATTCGCATCAGCGGCTCACCCTTTTACCTCGCCCATTGACTTCCTGCTTCACTGGACACTACTGTTAGGGTGTATGGATTTACTTGAAAGATGAAAACATAAATTAGAGAGAGATTAGCATAGAGTATGTGTTTTCTTATAGCTGCATCCTTTGAGTTTCCCTCTGGCACCATCTCCATCAGATACATGACGCTTGGGAGGTATGACTGTTTTAGTGTTTTTGGTCGATAACATTCTGCAATTAGGCCCATCATAATTGTCAGCACCAGGCCCACTGAGCTCTTAATCTGGCCCTGCTCTTGGGTATGCCAAGCTGGGTTGCCTCCCAGGAGCAGACAAGGATCACTACCATCAGTACAGAGAGAGGGAACAGGGCACAGAGTTCAGCCACCTCAGCCACCTCACCGACCCAGTATGCCACAGTGCAGAAGCTGTCCAAATGTCCCAAATGTTCACTGTCAGCCACTCCACGGTGGATCAGCATGGTCAGGGTAAGTTAGGTAGCTGGAAAACCTTTTTGGAGAGGTAAATGTAGCCCTTCATTGCCTTATATTAGAGATAATAAAAGTAGCTCTCATAAACCGCAACCAGTACACATGGAGGTCAAGCCAAGTATGTTGGAGATACTAATAAATATAAGCTTAATTTTATCTATTTACACCATTATTTGAAATTTGTATCATTGAACTCTCTGGTGTTGTGTTCTTCTTTTAAAACAAAAGTTGTTCGTTCAGACAACTATGCGAGTTGTTTTTTCTAAACTTAAACCTCAGTATTCAGGTTTTTTGGTCATAAGTAGTTTATTTAATAAGAGTATGTGACGTTTCAAACTTTCTTTGGTAAACAGTAAAACGTATTGGAGAAAAATAGTTTGTTTTCAATAGGACAGGTAAAATTAAAGTATATTGTGAAAGTTAATGTTTTATCAAGTTGACATTATTCAGATAATGGCACATGTGTTTCTGTTACAATGAACACTGATTAATTGGTCTCTATTTTGCTTTCCCAGTGCTCTTAGCACTCTTCCTTTTTGGTGACGGACTTTTCTTTTGTTCAATATGATGAGAAGTTTCTTGAGCTGCTACTGCATCTTGTTTTTTTTTCTCGACTTCAAGCAATTTATTTCTGTATGACTCTCGAGCACTGAGAATTTGTTGACGAGCATTGTCTAATGATATCTGTAGATCTTCATATGTCTGTAGCACTTTCTTCTTTAGCAAATTTCGTGCAATCTGTTCCTGCTCCCTTTGCTGTATGACTTCCTCTCGACTCTGTCTATACTGTTGAATCTCTTCTGCCTTTTGCAAGGCCTGCTGCTGAATTACATATTCGTCTCGTAGCAACGGTTGTGGCCTTGTTTTTCTAAGAAAGGGTGTCAAATCCAATGTGGTAAATTCTTTAGTGTCTGGATCCATTGATTGACTTCCCAAGATCTTGGCTGGATCTATTCCGTCTCCATTTAATACTTGAGTGTCTTGTGGAATTTTCATTTCAGACGTGTCCGCATTGATTTTTTGCACATATTTGTTGATATACTGCAACCGTGACTGCAATGCCTTGACAGCTCGTCCAGGTTCCGCCAACTCCCATGCCTGCTTCATAGCTCTGATCTCATCTAGACGTTCTGTGTCTTTTTTAACTTCCAGTGTGTCTACTTCGCTTGTTTGGCTGACTAGCCTTAGAATCCAACTCGGCTTATTCAAATCTGTCTGCAGTTGAGCCTGAGATTCAGGTCTGGAAGTTGGAGTTGACATAAGTCGTTCTCTGTCTTTTCCAGACTTCTCCTTTTCAGGTTTTTCTGTTTTCCCTTTCCTGATAGTCTTCGGAGTGCTCACTGGTTTTTGGACATCACCGCTATGGTGAACTTCTGAATGTACCTCTTCATAAACTCTTGCCTCCTGTTTCTCTAACTCCTTTAGTGTTTGAACAAAGGCAGCTTGACTCTCCGTGAGGGTCCAGCTGTTATTTAGCACAATAGCTTGTATAATGTACTTGTGTGCCTCTTGGAGTGCTGGGGGGGATTATTCCCTGGGGTCCAGTGGGGCTCCTGGGCGGGTGGCCGGTCGGGCAGGCAGGCGGGCGCGCGAGGGAGCACTCAGTGCTTCTTCTTCAGCTCCCTCGCGCGCCCAGTATTCAGGTTTAATTGCTGTGTTGGCACTTTGAGGAAAAAAAAGTTGGCATGTATTGCGGTTTGGGCACTCGGGCTCAAAAAGGTTCGCCATCACTGCTCTAGAATGATGGACTTTACATTGTTTGGAAATGGCCTCATAACCCTTCCCAGTTTGATGGGCAGCAACAATTACTTCTCTAAGATTATTGCTGATGTCTTTTCTCCTTGGCATTGTGTTAACACACCTGAATGCACCAGACCAGCAAACTGCTAAAACTTTGGCTTTTATAAAGGTGGTCACACTTGCTGATGATGATTCTCACTAAGGGCAGGAGTGTGAACATTGGTAGCAGGTGTCGATGAATGCTCCTCTGGTCTGTAGCCTTTCCAGTGTTTCAGTTATCCTAGTCTCCCTCTCTGCATTCTGGAGTCTAGAATTTTCTGGACTTAATACTCCTCTTGTCCCTGAACCCTGAAGGTGACCAGTTCTTGGTGCTACAGCGCTCGATGACAGATGCCATTATGGCAGTCATTGGGTCCATGTCTTCTACCCTTTCCCATACCATCTCCCAGGCCCTCCTGCCACGTCCTTTGGACGGGCAAATGTCGGGTTCCACGACGCCTCTTCCGCGTCCCACTATGGACCTGTCTGAGGGCGCACCTAAGAAGGCGACCCATAAGTCCAAACACCCCTCTGCCTCCAGAACTGTTATGACTGGCATACCTACGGTCGCCCCAGAAAGCGTGTCCCACCCACGCAAAACAGCCTTTCCGCGCCAGGCAGAATGGGCGCGGCTCTGGAAATGTGCTAGAGCACAACCTGAGATTGACTTCGACTCAGAAATCAGGTCAGGTGAGGAGGCTATGGTTGAATCAGATGACGACTCTGATGTTGAGACCGCTGAGCTGGGCCTTGACCTCCTTCCCTCTGCTCAGGCAGAGACGTCTGGAGGTGACACGGGGGAGCTTCACGCCGCAATCGCGGGGTCCACACTCTTGGATCCGTTGGGAGATCCTCTCTTCGACCCAGATGAGCTTCACCATCCTAGATCGGCGGAGTGGCTCCCAGCGGACCATGTAGCCAAGTACCTTGAAAATTGGGTACGACGCCCGCTCAGTAAAGCGGCACGGAACAAACTGACACCCAAGGCCTACGGTGCCGAATAAAGTCTGTGATACCCCCGAAGTTGATCCAAAAATGACCCAGTTCCTAACTAAGATGGGCTGGAACCCACGTAAGGGCCTAGACTCTGCCCTAAAAGCATGCCAGGATAAACACTTAGACATATTTGGTCCGCTGGCAAAACTTTTCGAACTGGCGGAGGATGCCAGAGCTGGAAACCATATGGTTGACCCCAAAGACCTCCGTGGTTGGGACCAAAGGGCTATTTGTATCGCCGGGAGCGTAAACACCTCCCTCTCTATTGAACGGCGTAAAGCCATTTTGTTTAAAATAGAGCCTAAACTGGCCAACCTTGCCCTAACAGAGGCTGGGAAGGACGCCCAAGGATTATTATTTGGCGGCTCCTTCATTAAAGACCTGGGGCGCTTTGTGGGGGCATCCACGGCCCTTGACAAGGCCCAAACCTCCATGAGACGGGTTTTTCAGGGAACGGTCTCTACTAGGACCGGCAGATCCAGGAGCCGTCTGTCCGGCCGGTCCTACTTTCAGTCCCGTGGCTCGTGACGAGGCTCTTTTCAGAACCGCTCCAACTTCCAGGAGACAAATGCCCGCTCCCCATTCTTCCTATCATGCGGACGCCCGTGGCGATCCAGAGGTTTCCGGGGTAACACCGGCTCCAGAAGACCCTATAGTGAGTTTACTCATACCTCATGTTTCTTCACATGTTTATGTAGGGGGCAGACTCCAAAAAATTTTTCCCAGCCTGAGCACAGTTAACCTCCGACCCCTGGGTACTAAACACCATTCGAGGTTTCTTCATCCGGGATCGTAGGTCGATCGACGAAGAACTATCCTCGCTCCTCACCAAGAGAGCAATAGAACGGGCACCCCCGGACTCCATGGGAGTCGTAAGCAATATTTTCCTAGTGGAAAAGAAGGGTGGCCAAATGCGCCCAGTCATAAATCTGCGCCCACTCAATGCTATGGTCAAGTACCGCCATTTCAAGATGGAGGGTATCCATCTGTTGAGAGATCTACTCCTTCAGGGGTACTGGTTGGTAAGGCTGGATCTCAAGGATGCATATCTCACCGTGCCTATAGCCGAAGCATCCCAAGATCTCCTGCGTTTCCATTGGCGGACAGGGACTTGGCGATTCACATGCCTACACTTTAGCCTATCATCAGCACCATGGTGCTTCACAAAACTGCTGCGCCCAGCTATGGCCTGGCTACGCAGTCGAGGCATTCGTCTAATCATATACCTAGACGATATCCTGCTCATGGCTCAAGATCTCGATATACTTCTGGCACACCTACGGCTGGCAATGAACCTGCTCTCCTACCTGGGGTTCATTATCAACCAAGAAAAGTCGTGTCTGACTCCCGCCACTCGCATGGAATTCTTGTGATTCCTAGTGGATACGGAGATGGCCACTTTGAGCCTTCCAGGGTCCAAGACTCGTTCAATATGCAAGGAGCTCCACAGGGATCTCTTACGACCGCAGCTCACCTTGAGGCAACTGGCGCGCCTCATCGACCTCCTAGCAGCCTTCATTCAGGCAGTGTTCCCAGGTCCGCTCCACTACCGTGCAATGCAACGCTTAAAAATAGCTCACCTGAGGGCTGGCGCATCCTACGCGGAGCTGGTATCTCTAGACAAAGAGACAAAGGACGAATTGCGATGGTGGATCCTCAACCTGTCTGCTTGGAATGGCAGGGCAATCTTCGGCTCCATGCCGGAGTTCACCATTGACTCAGATGCGAGCCTCCATGGCTGGGGGGCTCATTGCGCAGGTGTGGCGACAGGGGGTCGCTGGTCGGAATCGGAATCCCGACTCCACATCAACGCATTGGAACTCTTTGCAGGCTCCTTCGCGATCCGCAGCTTCGCGAGGGACAGAGCCCATACATGCATCCACCTCCGCATGGACAACGTATCAGCGGTGAGGTATATCAACCACTTGGGCAGTATTCAATCTGCGGTCCTGGTCAGATTGGCAAAAGACTTTTGGGACTTTTGCTTAGACCGAGACCTGGTGGTTCAAGCGGAATACCTGCCAGGACTGTACAACGTCCAGGCGGACTGGAGCTCACGATATCTATTGGATGCCAGCGACTGGAAATTGGACACGAACGTGTTCTCCAGTATATCGTCTCTTTGGGGACCTTTTGCGATAGACCTATTCGCCTCCCGGCTTAACACCCAGCTCCCTCGATTCTTCAGCTGGAGGCCGGATCCGGCGGCGGAGGCAGTGGACACATTCCTGCAGGTTTGGAGCGGAGACTTCCTATATGCCTTTCCCCCGTTCTCCATGATCCCTCGCTCCCTTCTACACTCTTGCAGATATCAGGCCGAACTGGTCCTAGTGACCCCGTTATGGGACACACAATCATGGTTCCCTCAACTTCTCGGGATGACAATAGATCATCCCAGACTGTTGCCACCCTACCAGGAACTTCTTCAGGATCCGATAGGGTGTTGCCACCCTCTCCGGTTAGAGGGCTCCCTCCCGCTGCTGGCGTGGCAGATTTCAGGGGACCCTGGGAGGTCCAGGGAGTTTCGGACACTACTAGATGCCTACTGGCAGCGGCATGGGCCCCCGGCACTAGACGGGCATATGGGTCAGCTTGGCGAGCTTGGGCTGGTTGGTGCCTGGCTCGGGACATGGATCCCGTTTCAGCCCCTGTAACTGCGGTCCTACAGTTCCTGACTTCCCTCTTTGAAACAGGTTAGGCATACAGAACCATCAACCTATATCGATCAGCTATCTCCTCAACACATCAGGGTCTCGATGGCTGCCCAGTGGGCCAGCACCCCTTGGTGTGCTGACTCCGTAAAGGTTCTCGCCTCTCTCGGCCACCAAGAACGTGCTACACTGTGACCTGGGATGTATCGGTGGTGTTATCCTTCCTCGCTTCTTGGCCCACTAATTCCGCACTCTCCCTAAGACATCTTTCGGCCAAACTGGCCTGTTTGTTTTGTCTCGTCTCATGAAGATGGCCGACTGGTCGCGGAAATCGGTTTTTCGGGAATTCTACTTCAGACCGGTTCCTCATACGTTCGCGGCAGTAGTCGACCAGCTTTAAACTTGCAATATGAGCCTCCGTGTCTTGTCATAAAATTGCATGATTTTGCTATTACATGACGAAAAGTCATGATTTTATTAAAGACACGGAGGCGAGTATTGTCCCACTCGTTTTTTACTACGCAGGTTATAACTTGTTTGTTTCCCCCCCCAGTTTATTTCAATATATAGGTGACACGTATCGCTTTGATTGGTACGGTAAGTGGGATCTGTGTTGGAAGGGATTTGACTTTGTAACTATGTCAGTTTGGGTCTATCTGGTTACTTCTCCGTAGATATTGGTGGGGCCTTGCTCTGTCTGGCCTGGATGTCAGCCTCACGTATCGGTTTAACCCTTGGGCTCCTGTTTCTTTATGTTTTCACAGGCTTATCTACTCCGGTGGAATGTCTGGCTTCAGCGTGTGAAGATCTCTCCCTGCAAATACAGTTTGGTCGGCAGGCAGCAAGTTGTGCTTCCATGTTATTTGATGTTATGATCCTCCTCTTGGGTTGAAGTTTTTCCATTTTCATTTATCTCTGGACTATGTTGCTGTTCCTGTTTTGGACTCTGTGTATAGTGTCGCATCTTCAGAAAGAGGGAAATGGAAGGGAAGTGCTGCCTATTATACTGGGACATGTGCAGGGAGGGGCCTATGTCACTGTATGTTCATTGTTTTTTCATTCTGTTTATATCCTTTGCTG